ATATAGTAAGATCTTTTGTATTTTTTAAAGATTTCTTTATTTATTATATATACAATATTCTGTCTGCATGTTTGCCTGCACACAGAAGAGGGCATCAGATCTCTTAAGCCGTTGTGAGCCACCATGTGGTTGCTGGAAAAGCAGTCAGTGCTCTTAACCTCTGAGCCATCTCTCCAGCCCTATTAAGATCTTTTAAAAAAAAAAAAAAAAACCCTCACAAAGAAAGGGAGGAATTCCTCAGTTAGTGAATGAAATGCTTTTCAAGGAGACACAAGCCCCAGCATAATATTAAAAAAGAAAAAAAGTGGGCTGGAGAGATGGCTCAGTGGTTAAGAGCATTGATTGTTCTTCCACAGGTCCTGAGTTCAATTCCCAGCAACCACGTGGTGGCTCACAACCACCTGTAATAAAATCTGGTGCCAACTTCTGGCCTGCAGGGACACATGCAGGCAGAACATTGTATACATAATAAATAAATCTTTAAAAAAAAAAAAAGAAAAAGAAAAAAAGTGAGGTGGCACATACCTGTGATCCCAACACTTGGGAGACAGAGGCAGGCAGATCCCTATGACTTCGAGGCCAGCCTGGTCTCCATAGCAAGTCTCGGACAGCCAGGCTGATGTAGTGAGATCTGTTTCAAAAACAAAAGTTGTGTGCGCAGAGACTTAGGAGCCTTGGGGTGGAAGGATGGTCTGATGAGATGAAGAAGGGGGAAGGAATCAGAGGCCAGGCCAGGAGGTGTGATCACTATCACGTATTTTATCTGTGGTGTTGGGGACAGAACCTGCTAGGTAAGTGCTCTATCACTGAGCCTCATCCCCAGCTGTAATGTGGGATTGGTATTCCACTGAAGACCTTAGCATGCTTGACGGTGGTGGCATTGGATGGGGTGTGCGGTGTGTAGCAGATGAGAGGTTGCTGGGAGGGTGGTGATGAGGGGCAGTAGGCCAAAGTGGGAGACACTGTGCAGGCGCACCACTGAGCTCTGCCTGCTTAAGGGTTTGCCCTGCCAATCTCTTTCCTGACCTGCCTTCTCTACCAAGTGGGTTTTCCTGCCTGCATCTCAGCTGCATCTCTGCCTCCCTCTGCCTTCTGTTCTCAGTGCCATGGCAGAACAAGATGTGGAAAATGAGCTTTTGGACTATGATGAAGATGAAGAGCCCCAAGCACCCCAGGAGAGCACTCCAGCTCCCCCAAAGAAAGATGTCAAAGGGTCTTACGTGTCCATTCACAGTTCTGGTTTCCGGGACTTTCTGCTGAAGCCGGAGCTCCTGAGAGCCATAGTTGACTGTGGCTTTGAGCATCCTTCAGAGGGTATGTTTCCCTGGTGTTCCCCCCTCCCAGCCACACCCACCCCACGAGTCAGTTATCACCAGCCCCTGTGTGCAAGCAGGTGGCTGGGACCTGACCTCTGTCAGAGGAGTGTGCAGGGAGGCAGCATCCAGTCTCTTACTCATTTACCCTTTTCTTCCTCAGTCCAGCACGAGTGTATTCCCCAGGCCATTCTGGGTATGGATGTCCTGTGCCAGGCCAAGTCTGGGATGGGTAAGACAGCTGTGTTTGTGCTGGCCACCCTGCAGCAGATCGAGCCCATCAATGGCCAGGTAGGGCTGTGGGTTCCTTTCTGGGCTGGGGTTCTATGTGTGCAGCTTTGGGTGTCATGAAACTTTCATAGTCTCTGTGTACTTTTGATTTTAAGCTGGGGATTGAAGCTATAGTGACAGTAACAGTCCCCAGTGTTACTGCTGATTTGTTATGCAGGTGTTCTGATACCACCATTGTAGGTCAACTACAAGGTCTTAAGAGTTATACTTGAATCCAGATAGGAAGCTGAGGCAGGATTGAGAGTTCCAAGCTATGGGAAGACTCTGTTTAACAAAGAATGTCAGGTTGGGGTGTGCTGGAGTTTGACTGTGTGGTAGAGCTCTTGAGTGGCATGTGTGAGGCCTTGGTGTGCATCCTTGGGTGGGTGGGTGTCTTTTTCAGGGCATGGCACAAGTGTGGTGAGGGCTGTGCTGTGGGTGGGCGAGAAGACATGCCATCCTGGGGTAACCCTTTTGTTGCTACCTTTCTGTTCCTGGCCTCTTGAGGGAGACAGGCTTGAGTTACCATGAGAGAGTTTGAGGAGGATAGGCTTAAGGAGAAGGTGGAGATAGATGTTTGGGCCTTCAAGCAGCTTGTGTGGAAGGAACTATCATAATAGGCACACTGTGTGTTGGGGTGGATGGGTGTGGACTCTGGGAAAGCATGTGTTTCTTGCCTACTCTACAGGTATCAGTACTGGTCATGTGCCATACAAGGGAGCTGGCCTTCCAGATCAGCAAGGAATATGAGCGCTTCTCTAAGTACATGCCCAGCGTTAAGGTAAGCCTCCTCAGGTGCTGTGTTTGGGTCATGCTGGCCTCAGCTCCAGCTCAAGTGGCATTTATCAAGCTTAAGGTTAGTGGTAATTTGTGTTCTTAAGTCTGATGAATTATGCCCAGCCTCCACAAGCTTGTGCTGGTCCCAGGTGTCTCTTTTCATCAGAGCTAGCCTCTCAGGCTTGCCTCTGCTCTTCCGGCTTGCCTGGGTTTTGAGAGAGTGGGGCTGGTGTACCAGATGGGTGGATGCCTATGCCGCAAAGATCACTGATCCCAGAAAGGTGAAAACAGCTCCTTTTCTGTCCCCATAGGTATCTGTGTTCTTTGGGGGCCTCTCCATTAAGAAAGATGAAGATGTGTTGAAGAAGAACTGTCCCCATGTTGTGGTGGGGACACCAGGCCGGATCCTGGCACTCGTACGGAGCAGGAGCCTCAACCTAAGGAATGTGAAGCACTTTGTGCTAGATGAGTGTGACAAGATGCTGGAGCAGCTGGGTGAGCATCCCACTGGCCTTCCCAGCCAGTTCCCCACTCAGAGTCACGGCAGTTTTCTAGGGGGCCTGATGGATGGGACAGTGGGTCACATGGGTGGCCAGAACTCAGGGCTCCTGGGAGAAGCCTAAGGGAATGTCCAATGTTGACAGAGTATGCGCTGCTTCTGAGCCCAAGTTGAGTGGAACCATAGGCCCCATGAGTTGCCATCCCTTTAGGACATGTAGGCATACCCAGGGGATCTGGAGGAATAGTGTGGCCTCTGCCACCCATCGGGGGCTGGGAGAGATGGGCATGTGTCCTGGGAAGCCACTGCAGCTCTCACGCCAGCGGGTGTCTCTGCCTCAGGCTCCCTTTCCCGAAGCATGGCTCAAGGCGCACTGGCAGAGCCGCTCCATGCTGGCAGCGAGTAAGTGGACCGCGGCTCCTCCCATGCCTGCGCTCCCGCACGCCCGCCCATCCGAGCCCAGCCCCTCAGGCAGTGGGGGACACCCCTGGGCCCACTCCACCATGACCATGGTGCCAATGTTCTCTGGCCCAGGTTGGGGAGGGCTGGTTCCTCTCTGGTGTGGGTCTGCTCAGTCAGGCAGGACACTCAGCTTGTTGTATGTTGGCATCCCATCCAGACATGCGCCGGGACGTGCAAGAGATCTTTCGCCTGACCCCCCATGAAAAGCAGTGCATGATGTTCAGCGCCACCCTGAGCAAGGAGATCCGGCCAGTCTGCAGGAAGTTCATGCAGGATGTGAGTAGGGGATGGCCCGGCTAGCCACCTGCCTACCGGGGCCTGAGCCACTCCACGACACACCAGCCTCACTTCCCCTGGTTTGTCAGACTAGGAGCTGAGAGGGTCTGCACTTGAGCCAGAGCAGAGCTTACATCTGGCTTTTGGGAGGGAATTGTTTACTGAGGTTGGATGCAACAGGCCCTCTGGAAGTCATCACTACGGAGGAACTGTTCCCTGGAAGGTTCCAGGCACATGAGATGCCCAGAAGTGAGCCCTACTTGCTCCTTCCTGCTTCCTTTCCTATACAGCCCATGGAGGTGTTTGTGGATGACGAGACCAAGCTCACACTGCACGGCCTACAGCAGTACTATGTCAAGCTCAAGGACAGCGAGAAGAACCGGAAGCTCTTTGACCTCCTTGACGTCCTAGAGTTTAACCAGGTGATGTTCCTACTTGCCCACACCAAGATCTGGGATCATGGGTGATAATCCATGGGCCTAACTAGCATTCTCTTTCTTGAGGTGGTGATCTTTGTCAAGTCTGTGCAACGCTGCATGGCCCTGGCCCAGCTCCTAGTAGAACAGAACTTCCCAGCCATTGCCATTCACCGAGGCATGCCCCAGGAAGAGCGGTGAGTGCATGATGTCCACCATGGCCAAGGGTGCCCCTGGGACCCACCTGTGTTTGATGCCTCTGTTTGTCTCCCACTCTAGCCTGTCCCGCTACCAGCAGTTCAAGGACTTCCAGCGGCGCATCCTGGTAGCTACCAATCTGTTTGGTAGAGGTATGGACATTGAGCGAGTGAACATTGTCTTCAACTATGACATGCCAGAGGACTCAGACACCTACCTTCACCGGGTGAGTGCCCCCTCCCAGTGTGGGTGGATCAGGGCCCCTCCCTTTCTCAGATCTTGAAGAGTGCCTGTCTGCTGACCCCATCTCCCTGCAGGTGGCTCGTGCTGGTCGCTTTGGTACTAAAGGCCTGGCGGTCACTTTTGTATCTGATGAGAATGATGCCAAAATCCTCAATGATGTTCAGGACCGGTTTGAAGTGAATGTGGCAGAGCTTCCAGAAGAAATAGATATCTCTACATACAGTAAGTTGCTATGGCCATTCTGGGCACAGGAGAGCTGGGCTTCCAGAGCAAGGCCCCTCCTCTCTCACTGCCTCACTCTTGTCTTTACAGTTGAACAGAGCCGATAACCATACGTGTAACCAAGGACCACGGCCACCTTTCCCACCTGCTGCTCCAGATCCTCTTCCTAGATAATAGATGGGTGTATCTTTTTATTGTTCCAAAGCTGTAGTTATGTAAGAATAAAGTTTTATTGTGGACGCCTGGCTCCCGACCATCTTTCTTCTCTTGGTCAGCATTTCATGGACTTGAAGGTCAAGCAAGCACCTCTACCAACAAACATGCCACCTTTTTGCATCAGGATATTTAATTTTATGTATCAACATTGAGAGGTTTACAGGTTTAAAAATGTTACAAAACATAACCTTTATAACAATGAGACCCTTCTGCCCTGGATGAGGGACAGCTGGGCCTCTGTACCGTGAGCCTCGGCAGCAGGCAGGATCACTGATGGCTGACATGGCATCAGTCTTAGCTTAAGGAAATTGAACCCAGCACCCTGGCCTCTTAACGTGCCAAAGACAGTTGCAAAGAGCCCAGGCCAAGGGACCTGCACTCTATCCCCAAGACTGCCTGCTTCGTGTACCACGGCAGTGGGCTGCAGGTCTGTGCTGGCTGGCTTCTGTTTCTGTGGTAGGCGGTAGCTGTGATGGGGCAAAGAAGCAACCAGAAGCAGGACTCGTGGCCCCGTTCCCACTCGCTGCCCGGTGTACATCCCTTCTTTATCAGAAATGGGGCCAAAGCTGGGAAGATGGCGGCAACAGAAGGCAGGAGAGTGACAGCTTTGAGCATGTGCTGGTGACCTGACTGGAACTTGCCTTCACATCCCTGATTCTGAGGCCCTGAGAGACCGTGTTTGACTCTGGCTGGTGCCAGTTCCCGCTGTGGAAGAGCTGAACTCCGAGTACTTGTTGCCAGCAAGCATGCAGGCCCACTTTCGGTACTCTTCCCTCACCTGTGAGCCAAAGGCGCCAGGTTAGGGGCACAAAAGGAATCAGGCTTGGCCCTGTCTACCTCCACCCCAAGCTCTTCCCACAGCTGCCTCTGGTCTGCCTACCTTCTTGTTGAGCAGGCAAAGCATCAAGAAGAGGAAGAGGCCTTGTAGGCAGTTGAGCAGGGTGAAGATGTAGGACAGCCATCTGCTGTGGGGGTCGAAGAGGAACAGGCCGAAGACCCAGGTGCTGCCCAGCACGATGAGTTGGGCAATGGCTGTGATGGTCAGCACCCTGGGAGGGGTGGGCAGTTGCAGCTAACAGTCTCTGCAACTCCCCAACTCCCTGCTCAGGCCCTAGCCCTCTTCAACCTGGCTCCACCAGCCTTCCCCGCTGCCCCTCTCACCTTGCCTTCCTTAATTTCTTCATGTTTGGGTTGATTTCAGAAAACTTTGCTGTGAGCTTCCAGACAGTGATGAGGAAAATGGCGGAGTTACACTGGGTAGAGAATATGGGTCAGGATTAGGGGGCTGCAGGTAGTTAGAAGGCTTGCTGTTCAGGTCTCCAGTCCCCAGAGAGGAGCACTTACAAAAATGATGAAGGCCAGGGGTCCCACAAAGCTCCAGAGAAAGCCGTCCTTATAGTTTAACCAGCAGCTGGGGAGAAGACAGCACCTTGTGAGTGGCCCCGGCCGCGAGGTCCCAGCCCTCCACTCCAGCCTCACCTCGACAGAGACTCACTATGTTTGCTGTCCATAGCCATCCAATTTGGCAGCCGCTGAGATGGCCACGATGAGGAGGGGCACCCCATAGCCTATCAGGCAGCGCCACTGTACGCTCAGGCCTTGGCCTTGGAACACGCGCACCACAAGGAAGTAGAGCTCCACGCCTTCCAGGGCCATCCAGCAGAAGGCCGCCAGGAAGAGGTAGTGCAGCAGCATTGCCACCAGGCGGCAGCGTGGGCTCACCTGTGGGCGCAAAGGGTTGGGCTGTCAGCAGGGTAGGCCCAACGGCTTCCAAAGCCCTGGCAGCTGGGCTCAATCAGCCTGATGGGGCGCCTTCCACACTGATCCCCAGGACAGACTGGGCTACCCTACTCCTAGGTCTTCACGCTCTAGTGAGGTCAGGACAGGAACATACCTCACCCCCTTCATTCTCGACGCCAACCAGGAATATGAGAGAGCCCAGGAAAAGGCAGATGCACAGGTGCAGGTGCACCATGGTCCGGGAGCTCTGGATGGGCTTCACCAGCAGGAAGGTCAGGATACACAGCAGCAGGCAGATGAGGGAGAGGGACAGCCCCACCTTGGTGATCAACTCCAGTCTCGGGTCCTGGGGGCGGGCAGCTCAGGATGAGTGGTGTTCCCTTACACGGGGCAGGGGTTGAGGGTGGGCTGGGGGGGTGGTACTTCTCTTTTCCCTACACACTTATTAACTTCTCAGCACCCATGAGAAGTCAGAGACCTCACACACCTGTCTTGAACCACAGGGCCAACTCTGCCTGGCTAAAATAATTCCAGCTGACCACGAGACTCAGGTTCTGGTCATGTTCAGAAAGCTGTACTTTCTGGGATATTCTACACAGGGCCTTTTTATTACATTTATGTATTTGTGTGTATGGCATGAAGCATCTGCCTGCCCCTCACTGTATGTGTTCTCTAGAGATGAAACTCAGGTTATTAGGGCTGAAGTGTGTAGGCATGTTTGTTGGCTTACTAAGCTAGCCCATCTCATCTGCACAGACTTGCATTTTTAGCAGTGCCTCATATTTGTTCAGGGACTCGGGTGGGGGCCTGCATCTGTCAGCTACTGGGTCACAGGACTTTAGGGGAGGAACTGAGACACAGAGCATGGGGCTATTCAAGGGGACCTACTTGAACATCCAGTGGGGTACACCCTTGAGTGGGTCCTATGGTCCGCCTTAGGCAAGCCTGGATAAATGGTGTCCGGACTTACCACTTACCTGCACATGGTACTGGGCCATTAGGATGGCGAAGCTGCTCAGATGGTTGCACTGGCAGAAACCAGTGTCATTCAGTGAGCAGCCGTCAGTGGCCCAGCGCCCACTCCCATCGTCACCAGTGTCCCAAAAGGCACATATCAGCTGTTCACGGGGCCGCTTTGACTCCACCTACAGGCAGACAGGCAATGAGGGTGTCCAAAGCACAGTTAGAGTCTGGGGTAAGCAGAGGATCTTGCTTTTTGGTCGCATAATATGTCTACTCTGCGCAGAGAGCATGGGGAGCCAGCAATGGGACGACAGGACACCAGTCCCTGCTGTGAGCTGAAGCAAATCACAAGCAGTTAACAGGTAATAAATGCCAAAGAAATTAAAAGAATCTGTGGGGAATGGTTGCTTTCAGATTGTAATTTAAAAACAAAAAAACAGGTTTATTGAATGTACTGCAAGGGAAGGGTCCCCATGCTACCTCTATCTATCCATCCATCCATCCATCCATCCACCCACAAATTTAAGACAGTCTCAGTATTCCAGATTGCTCTCAAACTCACTATGTGGCTGAGGACGATGATGCTTTTATATTCCTGCTTCTACCTCTTGAGTGTTTGGATTATATTTTATGTAGTCATTTAATCTCTGAATCTAGGGCTTCATGCATCCTAGACAAATATTCTACCAACTGAGCTATATATCCAGCCTAGACTAATTTGTTTAACTTTAAAATTTTTGTTTTTTCAAGACAGGGTTTCTCTGTGTAGTCCTAGCTGTCCTAGAACTTGCTATGTAGATCAGGCTGGCTTCAAACTCAGAGCTCTGCCGGCCTGAGTGCTGGGAATGAGCTGTCACTTCCGTCTTTAATCCACTCACAGCAGACATCAGCAGACACAGGTGGTGGTTCTTCCAGAGGACCCAGGTTCAATTCCCAGGACCCACATGGTAGCTCAAACTGTCTAATTCCAGTTCCAGGGAATCTGATGCCCTCTTGTGGCCTCCGTGGGACCAGGCATACATGTGGCACACAGATTCATACAGGGAAAACACCCACACACATAAGACCTTTTACCGTTACATTGGTGGGGTTGTCCTTGTGCTCCAGCACGCATGCGGAAGGCAGAGCATGTCTTGGGAATTGGTTTTCTCCCACGATGCGGGTCTTGGAGATGAGCTCAGGTCAGGAATTAAACTGAGGCCTGGGGAAAAGCACCTTTCTGCCGAGCCATCTTGTTGGGCTTAGACTGTAGTGTTTTGTTTTTTAACCTTTTTATGGTACCGGACCTTACTATGACAGGCAAACATTCTTCCTGAGTCAACTACTAGCCTTGCTTGCCTGCCTGCCTGCTGTTTATTGCTCATTCATTCATTCATTCATTCAGCAGTGAACCCAGGCCCTTCTGAATTCTAACCAAGTACTGTACCAAAGTTTGAAGACAAGTCCTCGCCCAGCTGGCCTTAAATTGACTCTGCTTCAGGCAGGCTTTGAACCTTGACTCTCCTCCCTCCCTGCAGCTGGGAGCGAGACACTTATGCCACAAGACCACAGCTCATGCTTTGCTTTTTTTTTGAGACAGGGTCTCTCTTGAGAGCTCTATCCTGTAACTCTCTCTATGGACCAGGCTGGCCTCACTCAGAGACCCTCTGAAGTGCTAGAATTAAAGGCATGTGTCACCATACCCAGCTGTAATTTAAAAAGTTTTCTGTACTTTTAGTGTTTTTTTAAATTATAACTATTTATTTTGTGTACACAAAAGAAAAAGAGTAGGACACTTTTTTTTCTTTTTGGTGTGTGTGTGTGTGTGTGTGTCCCTGACTGTCCTGGGACTCACTCTGTAGACCAGGCTGGCCTTGAACTCACAGATTCACCTGCCTCTGCCTGAGTGCTGAGATTAAAGGCGTGTGCTACCACCACCCGGCTAAATTGGTTTTTCTTTGGTTCCGTCCTTCTACCATGTGGGTCAAGAATGGCCACCTTGACTTTGGGTAGGGAATGAGCAGCAGAGCATCCCCTCCCCCACTCTTCCCATTCAGGGACTCACGGAAGAATGGGAGAATTTGAAGGTGACGTTCGAGGTGAGCTTCCCAGTGTCCGTGTTGGTCAGGAAAATGGAGCTGACGTTGGAGAGGAGCGTGAGCGACACATTGAGAACTGGGCTTTCGTAGAGCTCCTCCAGTAGATCCCGACTCTGGGTCAGGTCCATGGAGGCATTGGCCAGCAGCTTCTGCATGTTTGGACTGGACAGGATGCCTGCCAAGGAGTAGCCTGGGGGCAGAGATGCAGGCTTGCCTCCTGTCCTCCCTCCATTGCCATCCTCCCAGTGAGGACATCCACCTCAGTCTAAGGTCCTCCCGATGAGCTGCTGTCTGCCTGTCCCACATCCCAGACCTCACCCTGGCTTTCCTGGAAGGTCCTCTTCCTCGACCCCTACCATTTTCTGAGCGTTCAGCTCCAGCTGTCAAAGCCCAGTCCAGTTTCATCCAAGCTTGGCTTTGGTATACTGTGGTGATATCTTTGTTGTCTTGTTCCTTGATCATCAGGGACAGTTCTGAAAAGACAGGGACAGTGGGTGACTGGGGAAACCAAGGATAAGATGGCACCTGGGGGTGGGACCAGAAGAAGCCTTACCAGTGTTTGAAGGGGACGTGTAGGTGAAGGGACCTTTGGGTAAGAACTGGGCCAACATTCGAAGGCTTTGTTCCATATACTTGAGCAACAGGGTAGCCAGTAGGTGGCGGTCAGTGGCGTTTAGAGTATCTATATCTGTGGGTGCTTCCAGCAGCTTGTCCATGGCTTCAATGAGTTTCTGGAGGTGGTGAGTAACAAGAGTTGTGGAGGTTTGAACCACAGGAACTGAATAAAGGGACCCGGACCACCCTTCCCATCAGCAGACACTGAAAAGCCACATGGGTTGCTTGGGGAACCAGCTAGAGGGACACATTAAGATTTACACAGTAGCCAGAAACCAAAGAGATGAGGTTTATGAGCCTGTGCATGTCACAATGGAACACACACACCAGCAGGCATGACTGCCAAGGCTCTGCTGAGTCATCCCCCAGCCCCTCACTGGGGTAGTCCAGGCTGGTCTTCTACCACTGAGCCACACCCCAGCCCTATAAAACCTTGAGCTATTGATCTTCCTGCCTCTACCTTCTGGGGTGGAGGCACATCACAGACCACCACAGGGTCTTGCTGCGTAGCTCAGGAATCTGAGATCCTTCTCCTGGCTCCAAGCAGCATAGGCCTCCACACTCTGCTGAACTCCACTCTTAACTGCTGCAGTCATTGCTGTTACAGCCCTTGTGTCTGAGCCACACACACGGCTGCACGTCAGAGCCATGCCTCAAACCAGAAGTACTGCTTGGATGGATGGGACACTGTGGTTTTCCCCTACTGCACTGGGGTCCCCAGATCTCTCCCTTACCTGGATGGTGTAGTTGGCTGTGGCTGGATCGAAGTCCCTGAGCAGATTCTGGACTTCAACAGAGAAGTGAGAGAGACTCTGGGAAGGAAAATGGTGGGTCACAGGTGGGCAGCAGCACAGCGGAAGGGGATGGACAGACTGTGTGAAGGGATCCGACCTCCTGGTCCCCACTGGCTACTCACCCGGCTCTGGGCTGTGGGCAGCAGTGTCCAGGCAGGGAATGGTTCTGTAGGGACAGGACTGGTTCAGTAATCTCAGAGTGCATGGGCAGGACATGGAGGTGCTGGGTAGCTAGGGCAAGTACCTTGGCACCTGATGCTCTTTGGGTCACTGAGCAACCTAGAGATTAGCTTCCAACCTGGGTGGCAGCGGCACTTGTAGGAGCCTTGGGTGTTACTGCAGACGGTGGAGTTGTGGCACTGATGCTGCCCGGTGCTGCACTCATCGATATCTGGGGACACAAAACAGGGTTTAGGTCCTTTCCTGTATGGTCCCAGTCTCTCCCTTAGTACAACCATAATGCCTGGCTTGACGTACTGGTCCCTGGTGGCCTCAGTGAGTGGTACATGACGGGTTAGGAATGTGGAGAGGTCTAAGGCGAATGTACACAGGAAAATAGGACTATGGACTTCATCTGGGGTCCTCTGGGATACCTCTTAGTGTCTCACCTCCCTTCCTGGGCCCCTCAGCTTTTTACATTCAACCTCAGGAGATTAAGGCCTGACCCCACAGAGCCCCCTTTCATTCCTTAAGTAAACACGAGGACGGCAGAGATGACTCAGTTAACCTTCGGGGTTCAGCATCCACACCAGATGGCTCAACTCCAGTTCCAGGAGAGCTGACGCCTCCTCTGACTTCCCTGGGCACCTGCACCCATGTGGTGTACACAGATATATATATATATATATATATACTCAAGACACATATATTACATATATATTTTTAAGCAGGGTCATTGGCCCGGAAATCACAAGGGTAAGCCTGCTTCTGCCTGCCTTCCGAGTGGTGGGATTAAAGGTGTGTTTCACCACAACTGACTAAATAAATCTTAAACAAGACTGCGGGTCCTTAAAAGGTGGCATCCGGACCTTCACACACTGTGTTGATTGGGCCATTGGGGGATCCAAGAACAGGTTTCCAGCCGTGACGACAGTTGCAAGAATAGTTGCCCAACTTGTTGATGCAATGGGTAGATGGGTGGCAACGGTTTTGCCCGGAAGCACATTCATTTACATCTGAGAACAGAAGCAAAGGGTCATCCCGGCCCCCGCTCATACCTCCATGCACTGTACCCACTTTCCATCTTCTCACTGCCTCAAACTCAGTTGCACGTGACCTCTGCAGGACAGGCCCCGCAAGGATCAGGGGACTCAGTTTATAGGAGGTAAAACCAGGAAGCAGATTGGGTCACATAGGGCTGGACTTCATGACCCAGGCCTCTTGTTGCTTTCTGACCCTGGTCGGAACAGGATGTGATACTGTTCTCACAGATGAGGAAGAGCCGAGCTCTGGGGGCTCCAGAGCTTCTGGGTTCACCCTGGGGCCTCCCTACCCTGTCGAAACATGACTCCTCAGTGGAGTCTTCATAGTTCTGGGAGCTCCCGAGACCCTGCAGAACTTCTTCCTCTTCAGGCTACAGCCCTGCCTCTTCCTCCCAGCTCCCGTCCAGTCTTGCAGATGCTTCTGGGGGTACACCTGTGCATACCTTTGGGGCCTCAGCCTGGGCTTGAGGTCAGGTGACACCTGCGTGTGTAGCTGCCCTGGGTGTTGGTGCAAATGCAGTGTTCCTATAGACTGGGGTTCTGACCCTCCTCTACCTCATGAGAAGAAGCAGGGGGGGGAGGTTGTGTGCTTGAAGTTGAAGCCTCAGGCTCAGGGTTGGCTAGGTTCATGACACAGAAGCATCTGGAATATACCAGTCTCCTGTGGGCACACCCCCCTTCCAACTCATGAAGGTATCCCATGATGCCTTCTGTTCTATGCAGTGGAGAAGGATGAGCCTTGCTCCCAAGCCACACCCCCTTTAGAAAGAAGCCCAATAGAATGGGCAGGGCAAGAAGGAATCACACCAGATAGGCCAGGGAGCCAGCCTGTATGGTGAGCAGTGACCAGCTGGTGCACAAGCAGCTAGGCATCACTTGGCTGGAGTTAGGGAGGTAAGAACATGTATTCTATTGATGCCAACCCTTCAATATCACAGTGTCCACAGGAGTAGGAGTGACGGGCATTTCTGTCCTCTCTCCTGTCGGGGGGTCACAGACCTGGGGATGCACTGAGTGTACCCCGCCTCCGTGTCCTGAACTGCTTCGCCTGGCAGTGGCAAGTTGACATCCTCAGGTGAGGGTGGGTTCTGGGGCAATGGTTATGGTCCTCCATAGCACCTTCTTTTGCACAGTGCTTGCCTTCAACTCTCTGAATGTGTTGGGGTCTGATGTCACCCTGCCCAATCTGGTCATACCATTCTATGCTGTCTTCAAGGAACCAGGATTGCTGGGGATAGTCAGCATGGTGATTGGGAAGAGCAATGAACGAGGCTGACCATAGTGTCATCTTCCAGCAGGAGCAACGGCAGGGAATGTGGCCTACCCTTGGGTGTCTTTTCTCCTGGGTCTCCAGGCTGTGTCCGTGGGTGTACTGTAGCTGGCTGGGGTGTCTTTTCTCCTGGGTCTCCAGGCTGTGTCCGTGGGTGTACTGTAGCTGGCTGTGGTGTCTTTTCTCCTGGGTCTCCAGGCTGTGTCCATGGGTGTACTGTAGCTGGCTGGGGTGTCTTTTCTCCTGGGTCTCCAGGCTGTGTCCGTGGGTGTACTGTAGCTGGCTGCTTAGGGAGACTTCCAGGCGCAGCAGTAACTGTGTGGCTCCCAGAGGGCGCGGGCGTCACCCCAGTGTCCACTGATGCTGGGAAGAGGACAGACACTGCAGCGGAACGTGCTTGTGAGAGAGGCAGAGTATTCCGACCACCATCCCTTTGGCTTATGCAAATGAGATGCAGATGGGCAGAGACACGTCGGCTTATGCAAATGAAATGTAGATGAGCAGGAGGATGGTGGCTTATGAAAATGAGATGCAGATGAGCAGAAGGAACTTCTGAACTTCCTGAACCAAGTAGTAAAGAAGCAGCAGAGGACGTGACCCAAGGGCTCCTGCCCTCCTTTGAGTGTGATCCAGGTGGGCGTGTCCTCTAAGCAGTTCAGGCTGGAGTCTGGAGTGCTAATGGATGGCTAAGCCAGGGCCTTAGGCCTTGACTGGGTCCTGCTCTAAGCCTAAGCTAAAGCACAGCTTTGGTCTTCCGCTCTCCATGCTCCTGACCCAGAATAATGTACATGTGTCCTTTGTGCGTGTGAGTGTGTTGTGGTAACCATTTGCTGAAAACAACCAGGAAGTTGGAAACAACTTTATATAACAACTATCCACCATAAATTCTGTAAACAACATGTGGGTATAGGTTGGTAATGCCTGTTTGCCATCATGTTTGCTGTTCTGGGTAAATAAAGTCATTTTTCCCTTATAAAATTCTGTTAAAGATTTCTGTGGTGAATCCCTCATTCAGCTCCAGAGTGTTGGATCATAGATGTCCACCACAATACCAAACAGGGCTTTCAGGGCCACACCCAGGTATCAGGATGAGGCCTGAGCAGGGGGTCCAGAATGTCCCCTTCCCCCTGCATCTCTACGCTTGTGGATGTGACACATGACCCAGAGCAAACCACAGAGACCCTGCCCTGTGCCTGCTGTGGTAACGGGTGATGTTGAAGCTGACATGGGTGACGCTGGCGGGCTCTTACCTTCGCAGGTGTTCTCATTCTTGTTAGCAAAAGATGTCTCCCCAGAACGGAGCTTATATCCCAGGTTGCATGTGCAGTGGTAGCTCCCCTCTGAGTTCTGACACGTGGCGAAGGAGCCACAAATCGTTGACATACCAGGTAGTAAACACTCGTTGACGTCTACAACACAACAAGCAGTCAGGGTCACCTCCCACCCCACCTGACTACAGCGCGGAGCGGTGACGTGTCAGCATCGCTGAGGGGAATTAATGGCTGTGCTATAGCTTGAGCTAGCTATTCCTGCAGGCTGCAACTGTCAGCTCTGCTCCTCTCAGTCCTCTGGATGGACAATACCAATGTGGGGGGGAACGGAAGACCAGCCTCCCCCTCCCCACTCCTAAAGCTAAGTTCAGACACGGATCCCCAGAACCCAGGCCCCCTCTCAGGAAACCCTAATTGTTAGCTTCTTGCCTCTCCATCTTGCTGTCTTTTTCCGTATTTGATGCAGCTGAGACCCCTGGCCCCAGACCACACCTGTCATCTCTGCATGTGCCCACCCCAAGCCTCTGTACCTTCACAGGACTGTAGGAGATTCGTGATGAGCCCGTTATCATTTCTGCCACTTGAGATGAAGCCTGGCTTGCACCGACAGCTTCTTTTATCCACACAATCTGAGTTCTTAGGGCACCCCCAGCGGGGACAGACTGTCGGGGGCAGGTACTTTGGTAAGAGAGTAAAGGAGGCCCGGTAGAGGGGAACAGAATCTTGGAAAGGTGTGAGGATTGGCCCCAAGCTCCCCCAGCGGCTGCTCATCTGCTCCTGGGATGATTCCCTCCCCAGCTCCGGCCTTGGAGCCCTGGTGTCCAATGGCCTTACCTTCAGTCTTCTGGGTTTGGGTTTCTGACAGGCTCAGTGGGATGCACATCACTGCAACAAAGCAAAAGATGATCAGCCGGAACCCAGAGCAGGGGACAGGCGGCCAAAGCTGTGAGTCTGTGGGAGTGGGTGCGGACCCTGCCCAGGCTAAGATTCTGTAGTTAATACTCAAATAGACCCAGCAGGCAAGGATGATGACACTTGCTTACAATTCAGTCACTCAGGATGTTGTTGAGGAAGAATTAGGAGCTCAAGGCCAACCCTGGGCTACAGACTGAGATTCCCATCTCAAAAAGTAAAAATAAGAAAATAAAAATCAACCAGGGTTGGGGAGATGGCTCAGCAGTTAAGAGCACTGACTGTTCTTCCAGAGGTCATGAGTTCAATTCCCAGCACTCACATGGCAGCTCACAACTGTCTTCAATGGAATCTGATGCCCTCTCTGGTGTGCAGACATACATGCAGGCAGAACATGCATATACACAGAATACATAAATAAATCTTTTAAAAACATTAGACAAACAAGCAAACAAGAACAAATTTCACAAAGTAGAGCATGGGACGCATGCCTGTAATCCCAGTATTTTGGAAGTGGTTACAGGAGGACCAGAAGTTTGAGGTTATCCTTGGCTACATAACAAGGTTAAGACCAATATAGCCTACAAGAGTCCTATCTCTAAAACAACAAACAAAACAAAAAAACAAAACCAACAAAGAAAACAGAAAGCCGGACGAGAGTTTCCAGATGCAAGTTTTATTTTTTTAAATATTTATTTATTTATTATGAATACAATATTCTGTTTGTGTGTATGCTAGCAGATGCAAGTTTTAAACTAGCCTACGTCACATAGTGAGAATCTGCCTCAAAAACAAAGCACAGAGAGGAAAAACTACAAAACCCAGATGTTGCTTCCTGTGGCTCAGACACCTACAGCCAGAGGATCAGCACCCACAGCGGCCCATCCAGGGCCTGAGCACCAGACAGCCTGCGAACAGGTGGCTGAGCTCTAGGCTCTCCAGGCCTGTGGGGTGGAGATAGGAAGCCACAGGCTTTTGGTTGATAAATGAGAGCTTCATTACTCTCTCACCCGGTTTTCCATTCTGTGGCAATGGAGGTGATGATGGGCTCCCTTTATGGCAACAAACTCTACGTGCCCGTGCCCAGGGATTAACACTTTCTTTTAAGACATGGTCTCTCTCTATAGCTCTGGAGCTCACTACGTAGACCAGGCTAGCTTCAAACTCACAAAAATGCGCCTGCCTGTCTCTCAAGTGCTGGGATTAAAGGTGTGCACCACCACTGCCTGGCTAAATACTGCCTTTTACACTTAAATCTTTGTCTTAGTTTGGACTCTATGCTGTGATAAATACCATGATCAAAAGCAAGCTGGGTAGGAAAAGGGTTTATCTACTTACAGGTTACAGTCTACTTTCAGGGAAGTCAAGGCAAGAGACCGAAGCCAGGGACTGAAGCAGAGAACATGTGAATATGTGTTACTATGTGTTAATAAAGAAGCTGACTGGCCAGTGGGTGGGCAGATAGAGGTTAGATGGGACTTGCAGAAAAAAAAAACTTGAAGAAGAGGAGGAAGCCTCGGGAGTGGAGAGAGCCAGACACAGAGGAAGCAGGACATGTAGAAAATGAGGCGACAAACCATGAGCCACGTTCTAGAATTTAGATAAGAAATATGGGTTAAATCGTAAAAGCTAGTTAGAAACAAGCCTGAACTATCGGCCAAGCATTTATAATTAATATTAAGTCTCTGTGTGGTTAATGGGGGAGATGGCTGACTGGACAGAACTGACAGGCGGGACAGAAAAGTTTATCTACAGAAGAAGGCTACTCACTGGCTTGCTCAGCCTGCTATTTTATATAGCACAGGATCACCTGCCCAGGTTATGTGCGTGTATGCTTTATCACAGCATAGAAACCAAACTAAGATAAAGAGTAAGTGTAAAAGACAGTGTTAAACTAGGGCTGTGGGGCACACACCTTTAATCCCAGCACTCGGGAGGCAGAGCAGGCGGATCTCTGTGGGTTCGAGGCCAGCCTGGTCTACAGAATGAGTTCCAGGACACTCAGTGCTATATAGAGAGATTATGTCTCAAAGAAGGGGGGGGGGGCATTGCCCCTCCCACATCAATCATTAATCAAGAAAATACTCCACAAACTTGACTAAGAGGTCAACTTGTGGCCTTTTCTCAACTGAGGGTCCCTCGTCTCAAACGGCTCTACAGCTTGTGTCAAGTTGACAGAAAACTAAGCAATGCATTTACATTTATTTGTGTGTGTGCGTGTGCGCGCGCGTGCTACAACAACCTGTGTGTAAGCTGTTTCTCTTTTTACTACATGGAGCCCTGGATTAAATTTAGGTCACTGGGCTTACATACAGCAGCCACCTTTATGGACTAAGTTATCTTGGCCACCTCAGGTGTGTTTGAAGTAGGATCTCCTATAGCCCAGGCTGGCCTGAAACTGGCCGCACAGCTAAGGATAACCTTCAACTCCTGACCCTCCAGCCTCCACCCTGTTGGAGCGACCACATTTTATATTGTTTTCTCTCATGAGCTCCAAGCCTTTGCATGCTAGGCAGTTGCTCTAACCACTAAGCCTTGTTCCCAACCCCGCTTTTTACTTTACTTCTAAGTTGTACAGGCTGGGCTTGAACTTGAAGTCCTCCTACCTCAGTGACCTAAGGAGCTGAGGCCAGGCCAGACCCTTGTCGTTCTTTTTGTTTGTTTCTTGAGACAGGGTTTCTCTGTAGAGCTTTGGAGCCTGTCCTGGAACTCACTCTACAGGCCAGGCCGACCTCTAACTCACAGAGATCCACCTGCCTCTGCCTCCCAAGTGCTGGGATTAAAGGTGTGCGCCACCACTGTCCGATGACCCTTTAGGGAAGAATGACGACTCAGACTGTGTTTCCCAGGTCCCACCCAAGCTCTGACACTCCAGCACCACCCACATCTACCCACTGTCAACCGCATGAGCTGGTGGTAACAAGTCAGAGAGGCCTCCTCACACACAGGAAGTGGCTGCGGTGGAGGGCGGGTGGCTGCAAAACACAGCCTTGCTACCTCGCTGTAGCTGGCAGGCATCCCATCAGGCAGGACTGGAAGCCGTAGGTAGCAGCAGTCACTAGAGACAGACATCCAAGAATGCAGGGGTGGAGAGAAAAGAAATGATGGGGAGGAAGAGAGAAGCAGGGCAAGACGGCAAGAAGAGGGTGACCCACTGACTTGAGGCTGAGGCAGGAGGCTCTTAAGTTTACACAGAATTCGAGCACAGCCTGGGCAAATCCGTGGGAATCTGACTGAAACAAGGCCCTGGGTTTCATCTCCAAGGCCAAAAATCGAAAGGGGGTGGTGGAGGAGGAAGAAGAGGAGAGAGAGCTTGAACAAAGGCACAACCTGACTTCTGAGTCAATAGCCGGGATCCACACAGTGGAAGGGGAGAACTGACCTGTGTGTGTGTGATGCCATGAGAGCACACGCACACACACACACTCACGCACACAAGCACGTGCACACACACACTCATGCATGCAAGCACGGACACACACACATATCCACCCCACAAAAAAATAAAATGAAAAATTTGAAAAAAGAATTGGGCTGGGTGGTGGTGGTGCACGCCTCTAATCCCAGCACTTGGGAGACAAAGGCAGGCATATCTCTGCTTCTTTGAGGCCAGCCTGGTCTACAGAGCAAGTTCCAGGGCTACACAGGAAAACACTGTCTCGAAAAACAATAACACAACAAAACAAAACAAAAGAATTGGCAGCAGGAGAGATGGCTCCGCAGATAAGAGCACTGGCTGCTGTTCCAATGGACCCAGGGTTCCATTTCCAGTGCCCACTTGGTGGCTCACAGTTCCAGGGATTTCGGTGCCCTCTTCTGATCTCCAGGGCTACTAGGCATTCACACCGTGCATACACATTTAGGCAAGCAAAACAACCATGCATGCAAGCTAAATAAATCTAAAAGGAGAAAGCCTGGCAACCCATGCAGTGGGGCCGCACTGTGATGGCCGGTTACAGGGATGCGAAGCCGGAGGACCGGAAGTCTCCTCCTGGGCTACAGACCATAGGCACGAGAGCCTGTCTCAGAATAGAAGTCAAGAGAAAGACTGGGGTGTAGCATGTGTGAAGATATGGCCCCAGCAGGTGTGAAGCCCAGTTTCCCTCTCAGTACAGGAGGAAGGGGAGGGCATGCTGACAGAAAGTGGGAGGGGAGCTGTCTGAGAAGCAGGGGACCTGGGGAGAGCCTAGGGGACAGAGTTGTTCCCACAGCATCAAGAAAAGAATCCTAACAGAATCCTAGAGGGAGCCCTAGGGTGAAGGGTTGGTTGGTAGGGGGAGATGAAGTGAGTCACTTCCTGGATGATTCACCCACTGGGCTGGCTGCATGCCAGGTTCTCAGGGGGGTTCCTGGGGTCGGTCACTATCAGCAGGGTTGTGGGGAGGGACGGGGACAGTGTCTCTAAGAGGGTCTCAGTCTTTGTCTGACTGGGTTCCCACAAGGCTCCGGGTGAAGATGCTGAGGCTGGACCACCCCAGCCTGGCGACTGTCAGCCTCAAGTTAGAATTCTTCCTTTTCTGGGGCCACAGTGTTGGATTTCTCCTCCTTTCACCCCCATCAGAACCCAGTTCCTCTTTGTGTGACAGACCACAAAACGACCTACCCTCCAGGATGGGCCCTGGGGCAACTTCACAGTTTCTAAAGTCTAGTGCGGGTACTTGTCTTTCTCTGTGTGACCAGTCTTGGTCCCTTCCACCTTGAGTTTTGAGACAGGGTCTCATGGAACCTGTGTTCATCACGCAGGCTAGGCTGGGCAGCCAGTGAGCCACAGGGATCTGCCACAACGCTGAGATTACAAGTGTGTCACCATATCCAGCCCCCTTTCCATGGGTCGTTCACTGACAGAGCCCTCTTCCCAGCCCTCAAGTAACTTTGTAAAATAATATTAATTATTTTTTATGTGTATGGATGTTTTGTCTGCACGTGTGTTGCCTTGTGCCTAGGGAGGGCAAAAGATGGCAGTAGATCTTCTGGAACTGGAGTTAAAGATGGTTGTTAGCCACCCTGTGGTTGCAGGGAACTGAGCCCCCTATTTCTGGAAGAACAGCAAGTGCTCTTAACCACTGAGCCAAGTCTCTATTGCCTTAAGTAACTCCATTAAGACTCAAACCATGCGAGGCCAGCCTGGTCTACAAGAGCTGGTTCCAGGACAGGCTCTACAGGTTTTTTCTACAGAGAAACCCTGTCTCGAAAAAACAAAACAAAAAACAAAACAAAAAACAAAACAAAAAAAAAAGGACTCAAAACATGGTGGAGTGGGTGTGATGGTGCCCACTAGTGAGGCCAGCCTGCTCTACCTAGGGAGCTCCAGGTCCCCAGGCTACATAGCAAGACCCTGTCTCATCAACAGCCACAACACAAAACAGAAGTAGGGGAATTTATTCTAAATTCGAAACCAGCCCAGGATACATAGCTATAGTGCCAAACTCTGCCTTAAAAAGAACAAAACAAAACAAATCAAAATCAAAATGAAGTTAGGCCTGGTTGTACCCCCTCAGAAGGGGAAGCAGGAGGGTGAGAAGTTCAAGGTCATCCTTAACTACCCTGAAATTTTGTCTCCTAAGAAACCCGGAGAAGACTCAGGGCAGCATCAGGAGGCAGGGGCTGGTGTCACGTCTGATCTCCACCAAGACAAAGTGAGGTTTGGAGCTTGGAAAAAGATTAGTGGGTAAGCAGGCTGGGAGGTGAAGGCAAGGCTGGAGCAGAGTCACCCAGGCAGGGTGGGATACTCGTCCCCTCACCATGAGCTGGGCTCTACGCCACTACCCTGAAGACACTGGCCAGGCTGCCCACATCTGGAGGCTTGGAAGTTAACCAAACAGAAGCACAGCTGCTCTTTTCTGCTCCCAGACACATCTGGTTCAAATTCCCAGGCTCAAAATGGGAAGCCAGGAGTGGGGGTAGGAAGGCAGGAGTGGTTCAGATTCCCAGGCTCAAAATGGAAAGAACGCCTTTGTGCTTGGTGCGGGAGATCCCCCAGCATCTCACCCAGAAAATAATTATCACAACAATAAAACAGTGCCCACTTAATTCTCTCTCCCACCCCCTTTGTGTGTGTGTGTGTGTGTGTGTCCCCGCACGCCTGCGCTGAACTTGCTATGTAGACCTCCAACTCACAAGATCTGCCCGGCTCCTTCTTTAGTGCTAGGATTAAAGACACCAGCTAGGCTGGTTGGTTGGTTTTGGTTTTGGTTTTTGAGATGAGGTCTCACTAAGGCCTGAAACTCACGCGCAGCAGAGAATGACCTTGAACTAGCAGAGAATGACATTGAACTTCGAACCCTCCTGGCTCCACTACCAGGGTACTGTGCTGGCAGACATGGACACCACACCCATGTGTTCAGTTAATTCAAACTGTGAACCAGAAAGTTTCTGGACAAACTCTTGGCCCTTGAAACAGTACCATAAAATGCAGCTGGTCTTGTTCCATTTCACAGAGGAGGAAGGTGAAGCCCAAGGTCACTGTGACCCAGCCCAGTGATGACAGGCAGGCCCGTCTCAGCAGCTGTCTGCCACCAACTGTGCCCCACTGGGACTCTAGTTCCTGGTTCCAGAGGCCACAGGCCCCTGAGCTGCCTGACACTTGCCACCTGTTGCTGGCACGCAGGCCAGTCATTGTGGTTGGGGTAACCCCAGCTTGCACCTCAATTACATTTCTTCATTGTTTGTTATCGAGTTACTTAGGTAACTCAGCAGTCAGACAGCGGTTGGAGGAACCCAGGGTGGGGCGGGAAAGTCCAAGTTCAAACTCGGTCTGACACTATCCCTTCAGCCAGCAGCTCAGTCCAAGGCAGGTCTCAAGGAGCATCTCTGGGGGGTGGGGGGGGGTGGGGGGTGGGTTCCCACTCTCTGGGGTCATTCTCACACTCGCAGGTGTCCGCATAAGAGCGCCAGTACAGGAGACCAACCAGTGGAGTTTACTTTATCCTGTATTGTTTTTTCTTAATTTTATTATTGTATGTGCGTTTTGCCTGCATGTATGTTTGTGAACTGCATGCATGCCTGGTGCCTGTGGAAGCCAGAAAAGGGTGTTGGGTCCCCTGGAGTTACAGACGCTTGAGAGCCACCATGTGGGTGCTGGGAACCAACCAGGTCCATTCTTAATGCTCTTAACCTCTGTGCCATCTCTCCAGCTTGCAGCCTGAATTTCTTTTTCTTTTGTTCTTTTGAGACAGGGTCTCGCTGTGTAGCCCAGGCTGACCTGGAACTAGTGACCCTCCTGCCTCAGCTTCCCTAACGCCGTGTGTCACCATGCCGGCTTTGCCACTCCCTTTATATGTCCCCGTGCCTCAGTTTTCCCTCTTAGCCTCCAAATTGGCAGCAGTAGAGCCCAGTACCCCTGAGAGCCTTCTGGGGCGCACAGGTGCGTGGACTTTGCCTGACCCTGCCCCGCCTGGCCACGTCCCGCGAGCCTCCTCCCGGCCCCGCGCAACCCCGAGGACTCACGGAGCAGGAGGAGGCGGTGGGCGCCTCTCATGGTGGCGCGGAACGGCTGGCGTCTGGGCTGGCTGCGGGTGGTGGCGGCCTCTTGGGCTGGGCCTTTATGCACCGGGCGTGGGCAGGGCCCTCCCCGGAACTGTCCTCCCCGCTGGAAAGTAACAGGAAAGTGCCGGGGAAACAGCCCCAGGGCGCGGCGCGCGCCCGCGCCTGGAACAAACGCGACCCATCGCGCGCGCGTCCCGGACACCCGCCCCTCGCGGACAGGCGGCCGGCCGGCTGCAGAGCTGGGCGGCGCCGACGAGGTGTCCCGGGACAGTCACTGCGAAAAGAACTGGGTGGAGCTCCCACCAGAGCGACGCCCCGGGCTCCTGAGCGAACCCCATTCCCAACAGTAGGACTTTACCCCCACCCCTCTTCTATTCCAGGAGGGAAACTGAGGCTCATAGAAGTCAGAGGCCAAATAAGATTCAGAGGAGGGCAGGGGACCCTTCTGGAATGCCAGGCCGGGAAGGAGAAATGTCAGGGATAGGAGATGTGACTCAGTGTGTGTAGTGCTTGCTTAACACGCTCGAGGCCACGTCTAGTTACAGTGTCACCTAAACGGGCGCGGGCCTGTAACCCTAGCCCTAATTAGGCGTTCAAAGTCAGCTCTCGTGTTGTCGTTTTGTCGCATTTAAAGCCTGCCAGGACTTTGCCTCACAAAGAAAAAAGGGGTGTGGAGGGTTGTGCCCTCCTATTGTAATCCCTGCTTTCTGGAAAGCAGAGGCTAAACCCAGGCTGTCCTTGACCTCGTAAGAGTTCCAGGCCAGCCAGAGGTATGCAGATAGGTTCTCTATCTCAAATAAAATTAAAATAAAATATAAAATAAAATAAAAGGGAGGAGTACCAGCGGGACATCTCAGTGGGTAAAGGCTCTTGCCCCCAACCTATCCACATTACTTCGACATCCAGGGCCTACATGATGGATGGAGAGAACCAGCCCCTGCCAGCTGCCCTCTGACCGTCACAAGCACAAGTCCTAAACTGTACATCAACAAGTACAATGTACTAAGAACTTAGAATTAAACAGAGGAGATTTGACCACTGGACATCTCTAACCACTGCAGGGCTTTTTGGTTACACGTGATGAACACTGGTTTCCTGTTTGAAGAACTTGTCATATAACTATCATATCTTTTTATGTGGTGTGTGTGTGTGTGTGTGTGTGTGTGTGTAACCCAGGGTTTTGTGTATGCTCGGCAAGCACTCTACCATGTGAACTATGTTCCCAGATACATCTAGTGATTTTTCAAAACATCACTGACTTTTTTTCCCCTTTTTTTCTCTGAATCAGTGTCTCAGGTATCTCAGGCTGAATTTGAACTCTGTGTAGCCTAGGAGAGCCTTGAACTCCTGATTTCCCCACCTCTGAGGCCTAAGTCTGCAGGAGCCACAGGCCTAAACCCCCGGAGCTGGAGGCCTCCTTTTCACCTCCCTAAATTCCAGGGCACAGTGATGGATGTAGCTACGAGGCACACAGCCTGTCATGGTGGCGCTCATGAGGCCAAGGCGAGAGGATTCGTGGCTAGCCTGACTGATGTCATGAGAGAAAAATAAAACAAAATTAAGGAAGTTGTAGAAAGCACGTGCTGTTAGGGCCAGAGGGATGGCTTCCTAGTTAAGAACACTGGTGGATAACAGCACTGGCCACTCTCCCTGAGGTCAGGGTGTATTCCCAGTTTTCTCACGGCAGCTAACCACTGTCTGCAACTCCAGACCCAGAGGATCTGATTCCCTCTTCTGGTCTCCACAGAGATGGCTTACACTGGTGCACAGCTACACACACAGAGAACTGACCAAGGCCAAACAAAATCAGTAATGAAAATAAAGACATGAGGCCAGGCAGTGGTGGAGCACACCTTTAATCCCAGCGCTTGGGAGGCAGAGGCAGGTGGATCTTTGTGAGTTCGAGGCCAGCCTGGTCTACAGAGTGAGTTCTAGGACAGCCAAAGATACACAGAGAAACCCTGTCTTGAAACCCTCCCCACTGAAAGATACAACGTTTTCCTCAACTTCCTGTTCCAGAAATATTTTGTAAAAATAAAATAATGTTTTATTTGGAAAAATTCAGCTTCTTACACAGTTTCTAGATTTTAAGTTCAAAATATAAATCTTTATTTTCACCTTGTCAATTATAATGGTGTTTTAAATGCATTGGGTATAACTATTGGCCATCATATATCTTCATCTTCCTACCTCTGTTTAGAAGGGGGTAAAAATATTGCAATTCCTTTCTGGTCTGTCCTCCTCCTGTCCTTACGCTAGACCCATTTTCCGTATTTTAGTAAGTAGAAAGGCTATTGGGATTGAAGTTTGTGGAAGGAAGATTATGGCCAAGGATTCTCAGCATGTAGACGTTTCTCTTTAAGCCTTAGTGTGTGAATTAAAAACTAAAAGAAAATGTGTGGTACAAAGTAATTCACAGGGGACATTGAGAAGGGACCAGTGGCGGCACCAGGAAAGCATGGCTGTGAGATGGCCAAGTCTTAGCTCAGGATTTAATCCCTTGGGGTTTGAGCAAGAGACAGTAGAGAGGAGGCGGAGGGGAGACAAAGGGCAGTCCAAATCCAGAGTGGAATTTGGGCTTTTTTTCCCCCCAAAATGAGAGACCTTAGGGTCCACTGTCCCTAGAGACTGGCAGTCAGAGCCTCCCTGAGATTTGGTTTTCCTGTGTGTTGAATGGGATTAAGCCAAACATGGAGGCCCACGCCTATTATCCCAGCACTAAAAAGTAGAGTCAGGAGGATCAGGGGTTCAAGATGGACACATCCACAAAGCATGGTGGCGATTCTTGGTTGTCACCTTGGCTACATGAAGCCCTAGACGATTGGTGCACCTGTGAGAGATGCTTTTAGTTGCTTAGATCATCCGAGGTAGGAAGAGCCACCTTAAATATGGCCACACCTGGTGGCAGCCTACACAAAGGACGTGGCAGACAAAGCTCTTGCTCTTTTCCTGCTGTCCTCACTGCCACTGACAAGTTTGTTCCTTCCCTGACATCAAGCCCACTTCTTCAGTATCCTGCCATACCCTGAAGAGCAGCTGAGACCTCCAGATTCATGGACTGAACAGCTACTGGATCCTGGATTGTTGGGGGACAGCCATTGTTGGACTACCTGGGCCACAGCCCGTAAGTCACTCTAATAAATCCCATATAAATATTTATTCTACCAGCTCTGTTACTCCAGAGAACACCGACTAGAACACATAGCAAGTTCAAAGTCAGCCAGGGCTACACAAGACACTGGCTCAAAACAAAACAAAAACTAGACTAAAATAAAAGCCACGTATGGTGGCCCGCAGGAGTCATCCAGCACTCGGGAGGCAAAGGAAAGAGGATTACTGTGAATTCTGGGCCAACTAGGTCTACAGACAGACTGGACCTCAACCAAAACAAAACAAAGGGTCTGGAGAGATGCTCAAGGGTTAAACGCACTTGCTGCTCTTCCGGAGGACTAGGGTTTGCTTCCTGCATGCCCACAGTGGCTCACAACCGTCTTTAACTCTAATTCCAGGGGGTCCAACACCTTCTTCTGACCTCCCTCAGCACCAGGCAGGCTCAGGGTGAACAAATGTACGTGCACGCAAGCATGGATATAGGGAAAAGAAAAAGAAACCTTTAAAAACAGAACAGCAGATCCCAGTGTTCTGAGGGTCAGGGTGAAGAAGGACAGAGTAACAGGAGAAAAAGTTTCAGGCTGATGGCTCTATGATGTCCCCTCCTCTGTCACTGATACCCTAAATCTGACCTGTTTGCAGGTTGAAATAGACCCATGGCTCCACTTCTCACGCCCCATCCTGGTTCCCACCCTCTAGACTCTCCCCAGTGCACACTCCGGTCAAGACACAACCAGGCTCTTCTGGAACTCACTATGAAGACCAGGCTAGCCTCAAACTCAGAAAGAATTTTCCTGCCTCTTTCTCCTGGATGCTGAAATTAAAGTGGAGGTTTTAATCATAGTATTATTGTTGTTGTTACAGGTCTTACAGTGTTATCTGTCACTTACTACTGTGTACCTGGCTTGTGTTTGTTTGTTTTGGTGTTTTTCTCAGTGCTAGGGAAGAATCCCACGGTCTGGCGTATGTCAGACAAATGCTCACCACTGACCTAAGTCCCTCATCCCCTGCAGGGTCTGGCCTCAGGGTCTTTGCAGCGGGGCACAACTCTGTCAGACTCACTAGGTAACCTCTGAAGGGCCCCTGCTCTTCGGTTTGGGTTTGAATATCACTGGGCCTCCCACACCTTCATCTCAACAATAAGGCCACCTCTTGGACCGGCAGTTCTTCTTGCTCTTTCTTTCTTCTTTTATCTTCTCTTTTATTTTCTCTTTATTTTTCTTTTGGTGTGTTTACAGTGTACATAGGTATGTGTGTATGTGTGTGCTTGCCTGTGCATGCTGGTGTCTTTCTCAATTTCATTCTATGTTAGTTTCTTGGACAAGGTCTCTCAGCGAACCTGGAGCTCACCCCCCGGGTTAGCCTGGCTGGCAGCAAGCCCTGAGAGCTGCCTGGCTCTGCCCCCTCCCAGGCCCGGGTGTTTTGTTTCTATTTCCCACAGCATTATCGTTTGTCCACCAGAAACTCGGTCTTACATCTGGCCCTCTTCCCTCTCTGCTATTTAGTCCCCAGGCAGGACTTTTATCATTTTTTTTTAAGTTGGAATCTGGCCTTATAGCTCAAGCTGGCATTGAACCCATGATCCTCCTGTGTCAGCCTCCAGAGGGATGGGATTACTATGCCTGATACACTTTTTTTTTGAATGTTTATGTGTATGGGTATTGTCTGCATATTTCTGTGTACCGCTGTGAGGCTGATGACTACAGAGGCCAGAAGAGGATCAATTCCCAGAACTGCAGTTACAGTACAGTGTAAGCCACCATGTAGGCGCTGGCAATGGAACTCAGATTGTTTGTTTCATTTTTTGTTGTTGTTTTGTGTTTTGAGTCAGGGTTTCTTTGTGTAACAGCTCTGGCTGTCCTGGAACTCACTGTGTAGACCAGGCTGACCTTGAACTCATAAAGATCCACCTGCCTCTGCCTCCCGAGTGCTGGGGTTAAAGATCTGCGCCACCACCGAGTACTTCTATCTCTTTTATTCTTAGTAAAATTTTGCTTTAATATGGAATTTTTAAATTTACTTTTATGTATCTGTGTGCATGTGCATGTTCATGGTTCATGCAGGTCCCCAAGGGGGCCAGAAGAGGGCGCTGGGTTCTTTGAGCTGATGGATGCTGAGCTCTGAACTCATATCCTCTGTTGCCACAGAGTTG